TGTTCTTGGTGTACTGTTTGATGTCAAAGATGTTGTGTTCTTGGTGTACTGTTTGATGTCAAAGATGTTGTGTTCTTGATGTAATGTTTGATGTCAAAGATGTTGTGTTCTTGATGTACTGTTTGATGTCAAAGATGTTGTTTTCTTGGTGTACTGCTTGAAGTCAAAGATGTTGTGTTCTTGATGTACTGTTTGATGTCAAAGATGTTGTGTTCTTGGTGTACTGTTTGATGTCAAAGATGTTGTGTTCTTGGTGTACTGTTTGATGTCAAAGATGTTGTGTTCTTGATGTACTGTTTGATGTCAAACATGTTGTGTTCTTGGTGTACTGCTTGAAGTCAAAGATGTTGTGTTCTTGATGTACTGTTTGATGTCAAAGATGTTGTGTTCTTGATGTAATGCTTGATGTCAAAGATGTTGTGTTCTTGATGTACTGTTTGATGTCAAAGATGTTTTGGTCTTGGTGTACTGTTTAGAGTTGTTGGCATCCGTCCGGAGACGATGGTGTGGTATTCGGCGAGGGCCTGGGGGAATGGAGAATAACCTTGTTCCCAGTCAGCAGACACAGACCACCCCCACCCCCCACCCCCATTTTCTATCTACAAAGCTGGTGAACTAACGGGACATCAAGTAAATGACACAGCTTGGGACCAGGTGCTTCGCAGGCGTCGCCGGAATTTTATGATCGAGTTCATACCACCTTCAGGGAGGATGGAGTTTGGATGTTTCTGTTGTACTCTTAAAGACGTAGACTCACAATAAAATGGTTGCTGTCAAGTTCTAATGCATGTGTCCACTGAATTTAACTCCTTAGGTAGACCTATCGCCAAGCCTTAAGTGTGCCTCTCACTAAGCCTGAATTCGGCCCACTCACCAAGCCTTAATTAGGCTTATCACCAAGCCTTTTATTAAGTAGGCCGCCTATCACTGAGCCTTAAGTAAGGCCTATCACTATAAGCCTTAAGTAAGCCTATCACCACTAGGCCGCTCACATAGCCTGAAGTAGGCCCATCGCTGAGCCTTAAGTAAGCCTATCACTAAGCCTTAAGTAAGCCTATCACCACTAGGCCGTTCAACATAGCCTTAACACGTAAAGCGGGATTTAATTCACGAATTCCTGTATTAAAATTACAAGTGAGTAACAACTGAACGGAAATGTTGATTCCGAATACTGTCATCTGCTGACTGATAACAGACGGTCATGAAACTACTGCCCAAACTGCAATAGTGTCTACTGCCCAGACAGCCATACTAACTACTACCCACACAGGCATTATAGTAACTACTACCCAGACAGTCTTAGTAACTACTGCCTGAGCTGTCGATTTCAATTTTATCCCTTGCAACCCACCCGTGTCACTAAACATGCCCACCGCGTGGGCAACAATTGGGCATTTATCTCAAGTAGCGCCAAGAGTCTTTTTCTTGTGACAGCTCGGTCAATTTTTATGACAGCTCTGTCATTTTTTGTGACAGCTCTGTCATTATTGTGACAGCTCTTTTTTTAAGGATTGCCAAAAACTTGAATCCACTTCGTAAAATGAAGTGACAGAGCTATAATAGAAAACTAATGCAAGCTACGAGTAGGATATTTAACAATGCCTCTAGTAACGGGACAATTTTTATCATTTTAATTTTTTTTTTGAAAATTAATTTTTAGACTAAAAGAATTTTTTTCTTCTCTTTTTTGAAAAATTTTATGTCGAAATTTCAACTTTTAAGAATTGGTGAACTTCGAATTTAACTAATAGGTAGAACCAGATTTAAACAACATTTGATAGAAATGATTAAATTAACAACAGAAAAGCCCAAAGCCAATCTTTACTCATTCTTTTATTGCAACGGATCGCCTCTTATGTAGCCCTAATAATCTCTATAATAAACCTCCTAATTGTTATTTACTCTTTGAAAGTGGAACAAGAGCCAGAATATTTTCATTTCTTGTCCTAGCGCCAGCGGATCTACAATCTCAAAGCTTCACTGCTTTATTACTTTAATTTTAATGTGTCCCTTATTATGTTCCACGAAGAAGGATCTTTGTTAAAAATGTATTCATTACTGTTACGGGAGAGCAGGGTTTTAATATTTCAGATAGCTTCTTCTATATTATATTAAGAGCCCACGATCAATTTATTGATCATTTTGGCTCCTATGCGGATTTTTACAAAAATAATTGAGAGTTTATTATTATTTTAATTATCCTAACTGGTTAATCTAAAATAGAAAAAAAAAATAATTTAAAAAAAAATAAAAAAATTGAAATATTTTTTTATACAGCATTGCCCCATGGATAGCGTCAAAATTAACGAGCCATTCGGTCAAAGGGAGCTTAATCATCTTAATTTTGTGGCTGTGACTTGCTCAGATTAATTCTCATTACACTTACAAATAATGGCTACATTTGAGATTTCTGATTTCTTCACAAATTATGTAGCCTACCCTACAATACTTTTGAATAATGATGTTTTAGATATTCAATATTAATTTTTAGCTATTGGCCCTGAAAAAGAGTTTTTAGCGGTCTTACGTTACTAATGATCAAGCTAGTACAGCTAATAGCAATAATTTAAAATATGGAGCTGAAACTGAAACCGAACATTGATAATTTAATCATCACATAAGTCAATAGCAGGGCTCCGGTCCTTTTGAAAAAATATTTTAAGTTTATTTTGGATATATTTTTTGCCCCGTCCTACATATGTTATTGTTTAGTTTGTTTGGTTTTTTTTTGTTTTTTTTGTTTTTTGGGGTGGGGGGGGTGGGGGGGGGGGGTTTTGTTTTTTCTTTTT